TTTGTATTTTTAACTTTTGTGACTGGCACAATATGACTGCATTAATAATTACTGCCAGTATCGAGGGAAGAGCAGTATGTCGACAAGATCCATTCCCATGCCAACTTCCGTGGTTTTCCGATGCAGGTTCGTTGTTATCAGGCAGCAGGTGCATGGCAACTGCCGTGCGGGGTTGTAGCGCGCGCGGGCGCGGTACTCACGTGAAAATACAATGTCGCCTCGCGAAAATCCCGCGCGTTGCCGGTGAAAAAATGCGCCGGGGAATGGGTGAAAGGACAGCGCCGGAGCTGTGTGGTTCCTTCCAGGAAATTGAATTTACAATTTCGCCCCTTCCTTTAAATGCCCTCTTTTGTCGGATAAAAGCTGCCTGCCCATAATACGCCGACATGTCAACAGCTCGCCTCGCCGCTCTCGCTCGTCGAGCTTTTCTATGAAAACGCTTGGTCCTACAATGCGGCTCGCCTCTGACATCGACCTTCATAAACGACGTCGAGCTATCCCTCCATCCTCGAACCTCTTATTCAGCCCGCTTTCGCTGTGTCCTCCTTTTCCTACTCCCACCCACTTCCGCAAAAATCTAGAGCGTCGCTACTCTCTCTTCTTCCGAAAATTGTGGCGAGATTAATTCTTTCCTCTTTCTCTATCTTTTTTACTTGGTTTTTCTCAATTTTATTATTCAAAGGGAGAGATTTTTCTTTCGAAGAAGTTTTTTCCCTCTTTCGTTTCTGTCTGGGAAAGCACCGCCACCGCAGATGTCGATTTTCGCACATTCACGGCCGTCACAACCTGACAAACGACGTTATAATTAGCTGGCGTGTCGGTTTAGCGATGACGCGACGCTGTAGCAATTATTGTTTCTTGACGGACGTATTTATCGAGCGCACACGGGCCTATTAAACAGTTAAGTGATACTTAAACAGACGCGTTTTGTTGATATCGGCACTTGATGTGTCATTAATTGATTAATATTGTATACGTTGCTGTTGTAATTCTTCTTAACTGAATGAAAATTGTCGCCGATGTCTGTTTACAAAAAAATTTTGTGTAATCGCGATTTACTTTCTTTTGTAATTGCGATATCGTTCGACGCTATAAACACCAGGATAACATTTATGAGAATTACAGAGAAATACACGACTCGCGTACGCGCATAAATTATTTAGTTTTCCAGAAATTGATGCAAATTCAATGTTACGAGCATTATTAGTTTGCTCCGGAAGCAATTACCCGTTTGACCGGGTACACGCAAAACAATCCCTTTGTAGGATGCGTGTTGATGCATACGTTTCGATATATGTATATATATATATATAATCAATTTGCGATTTCCGAACAATTTCGATGTCGCGCGCGTTATTTCTCATTTATGACCGGCTACAAAGAAACATACTATATATATTGCTTATATTAATACATGTATATTCCGCAAATAATTCTAGTTGCGAGATATAAATTTCACAATCAATGATTACGAACTATTGTAGAAAAAAGACGGAACAATTTCAGATTATTGTCACGCTTAGGTATAACGCAAATTATTTTACAATCTTCTAAAACACGAGAGGCACACACACATATTGCATATAATAGGACAAAAAACTTTTTTTGACGTAATCGCGTAATCAAATGATGCGAGATTTAATCGCGTAATCAGATAATGCGAATAATCGTGTCAGTCGAGAGTTCACGTACGTCCGTCTTTTGTGTCACGGCTACGACGACGGTGCACCATTTTCTCGTTTAAAGTCTTTTCTCGCAGAAAGAAAGAGGAAAAGAAAAGAGAAAGAAAGAGGAAAGGAGACGCGGTCGGTTTTGCATTGAATTTGGCGCGTTGCGTGCGATGCAGCCGGGCGAGAAGAAGTTCTCTTTAGAAAATAAATCTTTGGGCGCGGTAGAAGTTTAATTTTATCGCCGTCACGAAAGGCACTTCCGCGCCGCTAAGAGTAGGGCCGTCGCCTCTAAAAGGACCGGACTAAATTAAAAGAAAGGATCTGAATGAGACCACGGGTGCTGAAAGTAATCACTTTATCTGCAGCCGCCACTCCGGCCTGCCGAGCTAATCTGAGCTCGCGTTTTGGAGGCTGAATCGCCCTGTTTGGTACGTCCTTCTACGTTCGCGCGATCCTCATTTCCATACTCATCTTCCCAGGTGATTCTCGAAAATCGCATGCGATCTTCTCGCATCGTCGTTGTTTCTCTCACGCGCTTTCGTAATCTCACACAGCCGATTATTTCAATCGCGCGACCTGATAACAAGTTGGAAACTTCGCTCGCTATTTTCACACTCATTGATTTTGACTGTGTATTTGTATGCAATCAGAACAACTTTAAAAACTATCTTTTGATTTATTTTTGAACAAATTTGATCTGTCTGGTAGCTTTCGGTTTTCTTCATGAAATTTTGAGTTTGTGAATCTAGAACACTGTACATTTTCTCGGAATAGGTACATAGATAGCACGTGTAGTAACTGAAAATAGTAAAAATTATTTGGATGTTTAAAATAAAGTCTTGCGTGTCACATATACGCTGTTCTGTATAATTTAGTTCGGAAAGCAAAAATATATAAAGAACCAGCAAATCGAAAAATGTCGAAGGACCAAATTTCATCAGAGAGTCCGCGCATATCTGGCGACGGAAGGCGCGTGACATCGGTCCCTTTGCTCGAGATTAGAACTGGAGATTGAAAATCCAGAAAAATTTCTACTATCCACAAGTCGTATCGAAACCGCGCCGTGTTCGTTATATCACGGATAAAAGGGGGAGGAGCTTCTAACGAACAGCGAATTTCTATCTCTTGTTATATTTGTTCCGCGTGACGTCGGTTTAGCGCACGGGATCGATAGAGCTGCATATCGCGGCAAAAGAGATACAAAAATATCACAAGCTCTGAAGCGACGCAATCATATATGCATTAAATCGAACGCATTGGAACGCTTTGATGATAATACCACTACCGCGAGATCGTCATAGTCGCGACAGTCAACGGGGGCACAAATTCGCAGATTTATTCGACCTCTCCTCTTCCCTCATCTCCTCCGCTCCTCTCCGGTTAGAGACCGCAGACAATTTTCACCACTGCCGAACCGACCACCTCCTCTTATAGGGTCGGACTCCGAGTCGAACTTTAATTCGCGCGATCCGCACTGGTTTTGAAAGGGACAGCGTCGACTATAAATCTAGTTTTGGACATATCCGATTATTGGTGCCGCGCGATCACCAACGCTATTTGCGACGCAGAGATGATGCAGCGATTCCTTGGGTTGAGGATTTATGAAGCAATACTAAGTTTGGCAGTGACCCAACCGACCAACAAGTCTCGCGACACTCCCTCGCGGATAAACAAATGCGGAACATTACCGGTTGAGTGCTGTTCTCGATCGTCGCCCGTCGCGTCGCGTCGTCGAGAAAAGTGTAATTTCTGAATCTCTATCTCTTTTCGCGCGTGTGTTTCCCGAACCAAAGATCTATAGATCACGAGCGAGAAGCGTTCAATTCCATCTGCAAAATCATCGAGATACTTCGCGCCCGTAAATTCCGCTCCTGAGTTTTATGGATCGTTCGTCGTAAGTTTTGAGATTGCTGATATCAAATTTCACAATTTCCCCGCGGTGAAGTGCGCCCGATGCATTATAAAACACAAGAATCTTACCAGAACTAGCTGTCATCGCGGTGACATGTTGTGTCTACTGACGGAATATGTTAAAATAAAAATAATATATTAAATAATATATATATTATACATATAATTTATTATATATTTATAATGTTATACTTTATATTGTATTATATGTATTATATACATACTACAGAAATGTCACTGACCTCCGCCGCGCGATTTTGGCGGGGTCACTGACCTCGGCCGCGCGGCCTTGGCGGGGTCACTGACCTCGGCCGCGCGGCCTTGGCGGGGTCATTGACCTCGGCCGCGCGGCCTTGGTGGGAGGGGGGTCATTGACCGCGGGCGCGCGGCCTTGGTGGGGGGGGGGTCACTGACCGCGGGCACGCGACCGCGGCGGGGTCAATGACATCGGTCGCGCGACTGCGGTGGAGTCACTGACCTCGGCCGCGCGACCGCGGCGGTGTTACTGACTTCACGCGATTACGGTATATATATATACACACATATATGCGTATGTGTGTGTATTATATATAGATATAGAATATTACATATATATATGATATTCTCTTTTTTACCCTTTTCCCTGTCACGTGACTTTAGTCACGTGTTGTTTTTTCACTTCTCTCTCTCACTATTTTTTGAGTTTGATTTTCATGCGTTATTTCTGACATTTCTCATATGTGTATTATATGGTTTATAAGACGTATATACTATCTGTCATCGCGGTGACAGGTTGTGTTCACTGACAACACGTTAAGTAAAAACAACAATAGCGTGCGCGTAGCGCGCGCCTGTGTTGTGCTAGTCGAATAAAAAATGTATTATTTGGCAAATGCAAAATGAACAAAAAGTTAAATTGAAGAAAAATAACAAATTATTTATCTACATTAAACAAAAGTTTTAATTAGTTAATTTTTTTTTAATATATCATTAAGTATTATTTACTCATGTTTTTGTTGAATAACAGGTGCTAGTAAATAAAATGTTTAAATTTAATTTTCAAAAAAGTTATTAACGCTAAAGTTTTTTAAATTACGACGTGAGTATTGGCAATCATAGTTTTATTTAAAAAAAACCAATTCCAAACTCTCACAAGGTGTAAAACCTTCATATACTAAATCCTACATTTTACGATAAATCCCATGAATGCGCAAGCACGTTTCCCGCACAGGCGCGTATCTAGGTAGAACGTGTATAATATAGTTTTCCTTACATCTCCCTTTTGGTCGAAAATGTCTTAAAACTGCAAAGTAGAACAAAAACAATTTTAAAATATCTACATATATTAAAAATATATCAATAAACTATAGAAAATTTTACGAAAATCCATATTAGAAATGTTCTGTTAATTTTGCATATCAATTGTTTTTTATTTTTCAGAAAAAAGAGGCTTGAACAAGTTGTTTTTCAAGTTGTGATGACAGAGCATCCTAGTTCGAAAAAGCGTGCATACGCGGTTCTCTCCAGTATCCTGCATTTGCACGGAGAGAATGTGTTTCCTAGAATGATGTTGAACATACCAGTTTCGAGAAACTGTAACTGACGTTGTTCCACTTCGCTTGCCATGTGCTTGGCCATTCGCGAGAGAACACGCACACGCGCCGTATCACATATACGGTGTCGTGGTTGCTCCAAGTCTCGAGAATATCGGCGAAAATGTTTCAAAATAGTCCACAGTTTGACATACGCCAGCGAGTGGTGTGTTTGTTAGAATCTTTTTATCGAGTTAGCGCCGCGACGTCGATAGAAACGTGCGATACAGCACAGAGTGAAATAAACAGTTAATTTTGATATCTTTATCAATGTTTTTTAGGTAATTAAAGTAATCAGAATTTCTTGTGTTCTTTTTATTTAAAAAGTATATAATCATCGATAGTCATGCCTAACAAATTGCCTTGAAAGTAATTATAAAACCGAATAATTATTCAACCGTGTTTGTGAAAAAAAAGTAAAATCGAACTTCGAGGTAGGTTTGAAATGCTCTTTCTGCTAGAAAACATCAGTGTGCATTCATCCGGCTGTATCCGATCGAGCGTATTAAAGTCCACAATGCGCCGGCACGTTAATCTTTACAGGTCAAACGCATAACATCTCTGCCTTCGACCGGAAACCACGCACGCGATACGTACACACACCCCCGTGTGTTTCAATAACTTGATGTAAAAATACGTGTATGCTGGAAATTCTTTCTGGAGGTTACAGAAAAACATGTACGTTATATATCATCACAAACACGTAAAAGACACTCTCGTCCATATAATATTCGCACACGCACGAAAACATGTGAACGAAACCCTCCCGTGGGAAAAAAAGTTACGAGACATATAATTCACCGTTTCGTAATAACGACACGGTCTTTCGAGCGCTCACAAATTTTGATAAAGTGTAATATGTGTCTAAATATTGTTTCACTTTTATTTTTACGTTTAACTATGTTTAATAATTGCGTGGAATATAAAATATAATTATCTTACTTGAACATAAAAATTTCACAAACGAAAGTAAAATGTTCATTGGTAACAATTAAATTGCTCTAATTGTTTGATTAAAAAAATATTGGAAGAATTGCTTTGTATAGTACAAACATTTTCAAATTTGCCGAGAGAAAATATAAAAATTCTAAATGTCATAATAGCGACTTCTAAACATGTGCATTAACTGTATGCATTGTCAACAATATGCAAATGTTAAGTTCTCATCAAGCCGGTCTTGTAGGGAACTTGGGACAGTAACACATCTCAAGGTATTAGATCGAGCTTACTCGACAGATTCAATTGGGCACACTTGCTGTACATGAGAATACCACTTAACGTCGCCTGTGCTATCCTTCCATCTTCGTGTATGTATTGACATGCGGTTAATCAAAGTGGTCTAGTATCATTGTGCTATTCGACAGTACAATTATATCAGATAATAATCGTATTTCAACAATCGCGTTAGGTTGGTCCGTTTTAAATTAATTACTTCTTATACATTTCTGCTTTTAAAAGAATTATTGCAGATTTTTAATTGTTAACGTAATTAAAAAAAATATATTCTGTTTTCAAGTAAATTATGTAATTTATTAGTAAATGCGAGAACATTTATGTCTTGTAAATTAATAACTTTAACTGCACAAAGAGTGTGTTTTGTAAAATGCGATTTTCCGTATATTTTTCTCGCGCCAGTATTCTTCAGCAATAGATCATCTGCATGTGAAAAACGAAATTTAATCTAGTATATATATATTCAGCGGCTACTTTTACAGTGAATACATATACTTTGTATTCTCCTTCTCTTCTTCCATTTGGACATTGAAATAAAATATCCTGTGAGCCAGGGAGACTTTGCATCAGCGATCATTGCACGCTCGAGCTGACGCCCTTCGCGTTGCATTTCGGACAAGTTAAATTTCGCGTGCAGACAATATATAAGAGGGTACATAAACTTAAGAACTCCTGTCGCTCTTTTTTATTTAGGTTTTTGGAATTACGGTCAACTTTATAGTCGTGTATTAGTTTTAAACATAAATAAAAAGAAACGTTTAATTATAAATAATGTGAGAAAAACAGTGTTTTTACATTTTTTTATATTTACAGAAAAACGATAAATATAAAATAAAAGAGATAGTTAACGCGCGTTTATGTAGATGCTTATTTTTATGTAATTACGCAAAAAGACTTTGGAAGAAAAGTTGAAATTTTTGTTACGCGCCGTCGAAGTTTCATCGAATAAGAATGGCGCGATAAAACTTAGGTGAACGGTTTATATCGTCTTGCGTCTGGCATTTCTTAAAGCACGACCGACCAAGTGCATTTTTCATCACCAATAGTAACCAGACAGCACATGGCGAGGATTCCCCGTAAACAGAAGCATCGCAATAAAATCTGAAAAGGCAAAACTCTGGCAAAATTACTTCAGATTCGTTTCGTTCGACAGATTTTTGAGTCGAGATAGAACGTTTGGCAAAAGTTTCTAGAGCAAGAAAATGCGCGTCGAGCATAGTCGAGAGCTTTCATGAGTTACACGAGTGTATCTCTATCTCTTCTATATTTTTGGGATATAGCGTTTTTTTTTTTTTTTTTTTATAAAAGAGGTGCTCTACTATAATACCAATCTATTCCCGGAGTTTGTGGCGCGTGACATCCCGCATCATAGCGAATATATGAACTATTCTATTTACAATCGAGCGAGAGCAATTTGTTTTTTTGTCTCTTGATAATAACGTGATGCATTTAAGATAAGTTTAAATAATATAGATAAAAAATAGATAAAAAATAAATTTTTCTTACATGATGTTTTGCCGGATATTTGTTCGAGTTATATTCGCGCGCGTAAACATCGTGTTATATTATTTAAATACTGTTAAATACAAAATTTACAACATGTTAAATTAAATGTTCAATATATAAAACTTTGTATCAAAATAAATAATCATATACAGACAAAAGAACAAATCTAAATAATTTTGCGAATCTGTGTCAAAATAAAAAATAACGTTCCGTTATGCTGAAAACATTGCATCATTTCAGCTGCATGTGGATTTCCTTTTTTTTTTATACACACATATATATGCTTTGCTTCTGAAAAAGTTTTTGTACGTGTTATTGCATATTAATTGGAGAATTTTGTGTACGTTTTTTTTCCATCATATACAACGACTGTATGCGGTGCTGCTGCGCGTGTGTACCGTCAGTTTCGCTGGTCCGACCAATCTGAATGTTAGCTGTTCGTGGTATCCTGCCCTTATGATGCCACAGTTATTGCATTACTGGGAACGAGCATTCCGCCGGATATGGCTGCCTCGCACTACGTCATGGTAGCGGCAGCCTGTCGGTCCCGAAACCCAATAATTTCCCTTGTTAATACATAGTTTGCGAGAAGACGTCTCTTTTCCATTGCTCGGCGACTTCATTTTACGCGTTTGCGTTAATCTCGATGAATGAGAGGCTTATCTTTCATTTTTCTCATCGCGTTTTTATAACAATGTTAGAAAATACAATTTGTTAAGTAATTTCTTTTGTATCCCCTATCTTCTCAAACATTTTAATATGATAATTAAAGAGAATACAAATTGCCAAAAATAATATTACAAATATAAAGATGTAAATAAATACGAAGAATACAAGAGTTGTATAAAGAAGATTAACGAGAAAATAAGAGTCCAAAAGATGCCTCGTTATTGTAATATTAAATAAAAATATTGTCGCGGTTTATCACTCGGAGACATTCGGGAGACACTCTTGATCAATCGCCGATAACACGCTACGCGAGGTAGCAGACTTAATAGCTTCCTGATCATTGAATCGTTCATTATGTCCCTGCTAATCCAAGTTCTTGATCCGCTTAAATTATACCGCGATTGCATTTGCACTCCTACCGGTAACCGTGCCGGTGGTAATAGGATTGCGAGCTAACGCGCGCGCCGCGTGTATAAGCGCGAAAAGCAGGAGCCGCGCCACTGTCGAAACAAGTAGACACCGCCCATTAATGTTCATTCTTCATATGTACGGTAGATATAATTCAACTTCGGAGTCACATCAAACTGCGCGTCGCGTAATAACTGTGCGCCGCAGTTTCCATCAAATATATACGAATACACGCGCGCTATTTAACAATAGAAATTTTAGCTTTGCGCTGCACGTGTGCATATATATTTATAACGCGGTGCACGTGCAGTTGTGTCGCGGACACGGTTGCGCCCGATGCGAGAAAGGGAAATGCACGGCGACGAGGAGATGTGTTGACGGAAAAGAGATGAAGAGGAAGAGGGAGGAGAACGGGAGAGAACAGAGGTAGAAGCGGCGAGTTCGAGCTGTACAAGTACGGATTACGAAGTAGATATGTACTAGTGTGTACCCATGGATAACGAGCTTCCTTCTCTTCCTCGGCAGCCTGTTACCGCTAATGAGCTACCGTTCTGTTTTCCACTTCTCTATATATAAAGGCCTAGTCCTCCTCCTCCTACTTTCTCTCTCCTTTTGCCGCCCTCTCTCGCGCTTTACTCGTCTCCCATGTCTCATGCTACTGAGAATTCAGGACAAAACCCTCCTCCTTTATATCGAACATTCGTCTGAAAGGCGAAACCCGAACAGATTGTACGCGCATCTCGCGCGTGCACACGTTCGTGCGGTTTAACGTGTACGCGCCCCGCTTTGTTACAGCGCTTGTACCTGCCGTCCTCGGGAACAGTCGCACAACACTGCTTATCGGCAGCTTTTGAAGCGTGCGATTTAACGCCGTTCGCGGTATATCGCGCGAACTGTGTCGTCGGAGTGACATATCTCTTTCTCAGTCTACGCGCGTTGTACAAATCATGACCAATGCTAGAACGCGACATAATTTTCTATAATGCATGTTACACAATAAATGTATAAAAAAATGCAGTGCGTATTTGGAAACGCTGTTTAAATTTCACGTCTGAAATTCCGTAACGGCAGCGGTTTATGAATTTTATCAGGCACTAGTCGCGGTAAATTTACAGAACGCAATCTCCTTCAATTATTAATTTGGGACTCGGGATATTTATCCCAGAAAATCGCAATTAATAAACCATAAAACAACTTGTTGTTAAAAATGCATGAATTTCGAGGTAAATATTTGGCGTGGCTCAGCACACAGCGCGCTTTGTTATTCAAACAATGCTTATCGGATAAACGCTCGTGCGGTGTGTATCGCGCGCGCTTATTCAAATTTGCGTTTGTTCGAGGAATATCTGTCCTCAATAAGATATTCAGAGTGAAATCCCAGACGCTGACGTCTCGATGATTATGAAGGGGACGCGCGTGGTGTAAAAAGCATACGGTTCTAAAAAAAAAAAAAGAGTTGTTGGTAATACGAAACATGCTTAACCAGTCGCAGTCTTTTCACGTTTTCCGACTTGAACGCAAAAATTCCGCGACGCTTTTCTTGTAACGTTGCTCGCGCGCGATTTTAGTTACACACCGGCGCATCGACATTCAGATGGTAGGAAAAAGTAAGCGAATATATAACGAGGGAAGGTACGTATATGAAAGAGGAAAGAACTGGAAGATGGCACGCACATTGCTTGCTACACACATCTTAAAAGCGGTAAACGAGAACGCGCTCGCTATCGCGCGGCTGCTTCAATTTCAAAGGCGCGACGCGACCATTCAGGCGCATCTCAGCAACGTGCTGAACGAAAGTAGTATTAATTACCACAGCGTGAGTGGAAAATAGCCGTGAAAATCGCGCCAGAAGCGCGGTCGGCAAATTCGTTGATTTCGCGCGCTCTCAATTCCTATCGCTCTGCATATTTTCCGAATCGCGGCTATTATAACGAACATATCAATTCGCTCTCGTTCGGAATTTAAATTAATTTTTTATAACGAATAATTTTTCTCACGTGTTAGAAGAGCGCTTATTCAAAAAGAGAAATTTTTTTTTAAATATTTTATTTGCAAGCGCGCGCGCACATCCAAAAAATCGAATTTGTTTGTATTGATTAATGTAACAAATGAAAGCACAATATCGTATTCTTTTCTGTGATCTTTTTATTATTTCAAATTTTCAGAAAATGTTTATTAATATTTTTACTAATTCCCTTTTTATCAATTGTCGACATTATCTCACTGATATTGGAACGTCATGTCACGTAATATGTGAATTTTACGTGATATTATATAAATTGTGCAGAGTTGGATTTAATAATCCATTTCTGCTGGATTCGCGATAATTATGTCGACAGCGTGTGGAGAATATCAGATTTGGCGTTGCGCCAAGGATTTTATTGTTAACTGTAACATTCAATTTTTATGCGTGCACGAATATAAAGGAAACCATAGTGGGCATCGATTAGTTGTCGGTTTTGTATTGTTATGCTATTGATACGCT